AAAAAAAAAAAAAAAAAAAAAAAAAAAAAAATCAGGGTTCTATTACTAAAGAAAGAGGATAGATGGCTAAGTGGCAACCAGCAGTCTCTGCTGTTCCTCCTACCTGGTCTCCCAGCTCCCAGCCTTTCAGCCCATATTCCATCCTCCTCAGAGCAGCCAAAATATAACTTTGTTGCTCAAAACTTGCAATCGCTCCCAATGCACTCAGATGAAAAGTCGAAGTCCTACAGTGGCCTACAAGATCCTGTGTGCTCTGGCCTCATTGTCTCTCTGACCTCACCTCTTATTACTTTTCTCTACTCACCCTGACCCATCATGGTTCATCAGACAAATAAAACTTGCTGCTCTATCAGGACCTTTACATTTGTGGTTCCCTCTGCATAGAGTTCTTTTCCCAGACCTCCAGAAGTCTTGCCCTGTGACTTCCTTCCAGTTTTGCCCAATGTTACATTATCAAAGGAGCCTTCCCTGACTACCCTTTATATAATGCACGTATGCACCTACATTCCTTATTCCTTTGACCCTCTTTAGTTTTCTCAATAGAATTTACCATAATCTGAAAGGCTCACATTTTGTATTTGTTATGTTTCTATTCCCACTGAAAAACAAGCATCATAAGAGCTTGATTCCACCTCATTTATTCACTTCTTTATGCCCAGCACCTACAATAGTGTGACAGATACTGGTCACTCAATAAATACCTGCTGAATGAAAAGATTCATTTTTAATATGAAGTGTCTGAAGTTCAGTGGGTCAAAGGTCATTATTCTATGGCTGGCCAACTTCAGATGAGAGGTGGGAGTTGTGGAGAGCAGGTCTACATGCTGCTGGAACATTCAAATGATCATCAAAAGAATTGTTTGAGGTTAAAACTATAGTTCAAAGAGTAAATGAATGAATAAAGCCCTTACCACCTCCGTGACCCCTAGTCTAATTAGCAATTCAGCTACTTCCTGTGATTATGCACGCTGCATGGAATCATAAAAGGAACATGAATCTGTGGAGCTTGGCCTGCTGTGACCATTCACCTTGGCAGAAGTGCTACTCACATTATTAGTCTCTTGGAGAATCAAGCTCTCTGAGCTTTGGCCTTGGAGACTTCCCAGATTGTGTTTGGACCCTCTTTTTTAACTGCTCTGCTGAAAATGGGGCTGTTTGGAGAAAGTTTCTGAATTGAAATACCCATATTACAATAAAGGCAAATCATAAGCCAGCTTGATCTCGTCCTCTGCCTTGGAATTGAGAATAAGGTCTAAATAACAAGGTTAAAACATCACTGGTTTCCTGTCTTGTGGGTTCCCGGTCCATTGCATCTATGAGAACTTGGTCTTAGGCTCTCTGTATGCTGCCAGTGTGCAGCACAGCCTTCTGCACACAGCTACACACACACACAAAGAATTAGAGGGGCTCTCCACCCGTGTACCCCATTAGCCTTCTTCCCCTCTTGAAGAGACAAGGCCTAAAA